CCCCCCCCCCCCCCCTTTTTACTATCATTGTTCCCTGTGGGCACGGTCTGCCCGTAGTCACCTCAACCAACTACCGCTACTGTACCATCCTGACACTGCTATACATTTGATGGAATGCACATTCACCGAACTTGCCCAATATATTACTGGGCACATGCCGTAGAAACTCGTGACACTTGGAAAAGGCCTTCCATCTTTGAGCGCCTACATCTAGGCATGTATGTACAGGTATCTGGCAGGGTCAGACCGCCCTCGCCTGCTTGCTGTATATATAAACTTGTGTGAGTTCCAAAGCTGGCGGGCGACGTTTCTAGTCGGAAGACCGCCGGCTGAGGCTTCTCTGCTGTTTTAGGGAACAAATGAACAATAAGAACGATGGGGATATAGGGGACCCTGGGCTTCCGACCTCCAGCACTATATTAAACTCGTAGCATTCTGGCTACACAGGGTCTTACATATGCTTACTGACTGCCCCTGGGTTGATTCCTACTGTATGCTCTGCATCAAAAGAGGGAAGGCCTTTTGCAAGTTTTGCGAGTTTCTACGGTATGGAGGCCTGGAAATAAAACTAGTGGAGGGAGCTCGATTCCGGATTTCCCGAGATTATACGGTATAGGACCTTTTCCATACTCTAGTGCCTTTTCCATTTCATCGAGGTATATAAAGGAGCACAGATGGATTATCGCATACCCAATATCATTGGAGGTATGCACAATTTTCGGAACACACAAAAAAGGAAAGAAAGTGAAAGCGAAAGTGGGAGGTAAGCGAAGCTGTTGTAAAACTTTCTTTTCTGGAACCCTTTTCTTTTGTATCTCCCCACCCAGCCTCAGACCCAGCTCCGAACCCCAGGATGACCAGAACGCAAAAACAAACCAGGATACCTAAAACATGAACCGATCTGACCCTCAACCATCATTATGCAACTGCACACAGTAGCACACAAAAACGCCGATAATAATGCACCCTAGAACCCATCTTTTCCTTTCCCATTCTATGTCCAGAATTCCTTGCCGTCTGACTCCTCGGCCTTCAAAACGTCGTCACCGCGAGGCTCCGTTCGCTTCAGGAACTGTCCCTTTTCACCCTACCGTTTGTCATACAAACCAACGACGCCAGCCCATAACCGATATGATTCCCCATTAAACGCGCGAAGTTCAGCACCCAACTCAGCATCACCTGGTCCCGCCAGGTATCGTGCCTTCCAACCCTCTCGCGTAAGTGTTTGAGTTCCACTTCAAATACCAGAATCCTCCTGCGGAAAAGCCTGAGTGCCCAAGCTATCCGACCAGGTCTGACAAATGTCATTGAACTGCGTGAGATCTGAATCGGTCACGTCCGCCTTGATGTCCGCCTCGCGCTCCAGAAACTCCAAGCTCAAGCCTTCACTCGCGTGCCAAGCAATGTGGCAGTGACAGAGCCACGCGCCGGGGTTGTCAGGCATGAACGCTATGGCGAGATACCCGTTACCTGGCAGAGCAGCGACGTCGCGGCGCGGGGGGTTCTTGGTCTGGAAATTCTTCGGCGAGTTGGCGGCGTCGAACGTGCCGGTGGATTGGTCGAGGATCCAAAAGTCGTGGCCGTGTAGGTGGATTGGGTGTTCGAGATTGAGGTTAGATTCGTCTTGGATGACGAGGACAATCCATTCGCTGTCAGTGGTCGTTTTCTGTGAGGAGAGGTTAGTCAGGGATATGCCCGATGGGGTGGGGAGAGGTGCAAAGGTCGAGGCGGCTTACATTGATAGCGAGAACGTTGTATTCGGTTGGAAAGAGCTTTTCGCCGTTAAACACTTGTTTCAGGGTTGGGTTGGCCCAGTCGATGACCAGACTGCTGGTGTTGATGGTCCAATGAATGTAATCGACTTGCTTCGAGATGTTCAAGTACGTGTCAAAACTCTTTTGGATGTTGGTGACGTCGATCTTGAGATGGGGGACAAGTGATGCCAGAGGTTCATCAAGGCAATCGCTGCTAACCGTGACATCGCTGGTCGTAGTCGGGTCTAAGGTGCTGCTAACATTGTACCGAAGGACAGAGGTGATGCTGTCCGGATGTTCATTTGGCTGACAGACGTTCAACCACCCAGCACGTATCCAGTAGTTGTCGACCGCTTGGTTGGCGTGCAAAATAACATCGTACCGCTGGCCCTCGGTGAGTTTCAAACTCGAGGTAGTGTAGGGCTTGATGGGAACGAGATCAGCGGCAATGACTTTCAGCTTGTGCTTGTCAATGCTGAACTGAAACACACCATCGACAGCCGCATTGACCAAGCGAAGGCGGTACTTCTTGCCCTTCTCAACCACAGTTGTCAACTTGACTCCTCGTCCGGTACAATTCGGGTCAGTTGTTGAGTTGCTGCAGTCGTATTTGTTCGTCCCATTGATGAGACCACTCTCCAGGGCAGGAGGCTGACCATTCCGGGCGGCAAACCACCGAGTGAAGACATCAACGTGGGACCAATCTGACAGGAAGAGATGGCCCAGGTCCTCGTCATAGTTGGATGTCGCAGGTCCGTTAAAAACGATGCCACCAAACACACCGTTCGCGTACTGGAGACTGAAGTGACTGTGGTACCAGCTTGACCCATACTGGGTGACCTTAAACCTGTAAGTCATGGACTGCCCAATCGCAATGGCGCATTGAGTAATGCCTGGAACTCCGTCGTAGATGTTGCTACCAGACTGGCGAAGACCATGCCAGTGGATAGCGGTACCGTTATACTTGAGGTTGTTGGTGACATGAATGACAAGACTGTCACCCCAGTCGGCGATTATCGTAGGACCCGGAACCGTCCCGTTGACCGTTTGACATTGGCGAGCGTAACCATCTGGCGCACAAGATCCTTCTTCCACCGATAACCAATACTCGCGAGTGACCCCTGTGTCTAGTGTTTCATCGTAATAGTTTGTATCGATGGAGTAGTTCCCCCAGCAGTGTCGTGATTTGTTTGTGTTGTCACAAGCCGCCCGAGGAAGGAGATTGTAGTCGAGCTGTGGCGGTATTTGTCGTGGAGCATGGGGAGGGGAGTGTCGTACAGCATGGAGAGAGGAGGCGTACACACTCGCCACAAGGGCACTGAGTACGCAACCAAGTGCTGACTTCATCCCGAAATGGATGCGGATAATGGCTTTCCTGCCGGAGGCGTCGGTTTTAAGGTAAAGAGCCTTTAGTAGGGAAAACGTTCAAAGAGCAATTCCCAGGCATAAAACAAACCCAGCGGGTAACATGGATACCAACAAAGACGAGGCATAAGGGTAAGTGAGCCCAACACCCATGGATTGTTTATATCCAACCCCTATAACTCAAAGAGCTCTTCCGCAAAGCTCAGGAGGCGATTGTTTTCTGCAGTCTACCGTCACCAGAGCGTGATCTGCGCAGAATGTACTCATGATAAGACGAGATGGTCGAGGACGGCCGGGGAACGGTGAGAAACGTGATTCGATCAAGGTGGCGGACAGATGATGAACTGCGCAGCCCTGTGAGAAAAAGCCCATATCGTCAAATCCACTAACTCCAGCCAATCTGTTGCGGACCCGAGGCTTCAAGGAAAGTTGCAAAGGACGTGTGCGGAGACTAGCACTAACAGAACATTCCATTTTGATAAGAGGCATGGTGTAGTTCTCCATGATGAAGAACTCGACTGACGGGTGCTGAAATGCTCCGTGTCCGAGGCTATGCAACCGAGTGCACGCAGGGCGATGATACATGTACCTTGCGGCATTTGGACATTATTCTGCCCGACTTGTGCGTTAGTTCAAGTCGCCCAGGTAATCTCCGGATTTGTCAGATGATTGGTCATTGTATGCTGGAGTTGCACGGTTCTTTGAGAATTTGGTCCGAGTGAAAGGTGTCTTCGGCTGCTCCGAGGAGATAACCAATCAAAAGGGTGCTGGAAGGCAGTAGGTATGTGTGCTCTTGACATGGACTCTTTTGTGAGAATGACTCCAGAGGCGACTGAGGGACCGGGCTAGAAACAAGAACGGGGTGCTCACTCACATGTGCGACGCTGAATGTGCTCGACACTGGCGGATTCTGACCGACTCCGAAAGCCGATAAGCGCATTCATGTCGACTTGCCAGTCCCTAGCTCAAGTCTTTGGATCGGAGACGCCCGAAAGGCGGCTTAGGTAGCATAGGATGGCTCGGACGATTTCTGCGCTTAGGAGCCTTGGAGAGCGCGGATCGACAGCTCAAGGTGTCGACAGACATGCGGCCTGGCCCGGGAAATGCAATCGGATGCGCTTCAGCCACAGGACATAAGGTCGGAGATCGAAGCACATAAGGCGAGTACCAAGAGGCGAGTGAGGACGTCATTGTTGGCGGATCTCATCCAAGCTTAGATGACTGGATAGTAGTTGGTTAGCCTTGTAGGCTCTGTTATGTCATTCTGGCGAAGAATGGGAGGGATTATGACGTACTTGCAACTTTTCTGTGATCGAGTAAGCCATAGCAGCTAAGGCGGATATCGAAGTATATCAGGATGCCATCCGGGTGTTCCTGTGTAAATAAAATGAGATGGACTCGGTCATGGTAGAAATTGCTTTCGAAGTCGGTCGAATAAGTGATGGTCGAGCAACAGAAGACGCGGTCAAATCTCCCGACGGGAAAAAGTGAGGACGGGAGGAAGTTGGACATGCGGCAGGAGAGATGAAGTCTGTAAAATGGGGAGGAACGGGCCACCTATTCACAGCCACTCACCAGGGCACCTACTGGTAGTCCATTGAACAATAATGTGGCGCTGCCCTGAAGCTAACAACGGCTAGGCCCGTCACACAGTTCGTCAAGCGCTGCGGGAGCACTGGGGCTCGTGCCTAACCCCCGCTGGAGCCTGGAGGCCCGTGGTTGCCGATCCCCCGCACAGTTCCTGATGGCCCCCACCTGGACCACGTTTTCTCCGTTTCGTTGCTTGTCGTTTATCGGTTTCGCCTAATCTTTCCCCTTCAAACAGAAGCACACAAACTTCCATGAACTACGCGACCGGGGCTTTTCCGCGCTCGAGTCTCTGTTCATCTTCCTACATTTCCCGTCTCAGCAACAAAACTGGTTCTGGTTACCTACTGGTAGCTGGTCATTAGACGATAGACAGCTCGACGTCATCAGCCTCGATCCCACCCCATCCGCAAGCACAATGAGCACTCTACCCTCGGACGATGCGGAGCCTGGAGCCGCTCCGGCTACCGCCAACAACAAGACAGAGACTGTCACCGGATCCGAACCTGATACGGCCAAATCCACCCAAGAGGAGGCGAAAGTAGAGGTAGTCAAGCCCACTGAACTCCAGGCGGCTGCTCCTGCTGAGGCTCCCCTTCCCACCACAACTGCAGACGAAGCCACCAAGCCCGAACCGGCACCCGCCCAGGACACACAAGCGTTGCCAACAACGAGTCAGCTTTCTCCCCTTGCCCAGCTGTGGAAGGCCGCCGAGGGCCATGACCATTTCGAGATTTGGGGCGTCCCCCTCTCCGATCCTGAGAGACACATCCCGACTCAGGTCGTTTTCCAGAAATTCCTGAACGCCAACGATGGAGACGTTGAAAAGGCCAAGGCTCAGCTACTCAGGACCCTCGACTGGCGCCAAAAGACACAGCCCTTGCAGCTGGTCAGGAAGATGTTTTCCAAGGCCAAGTTTGATGGCCTGGGCTACGTCACCACCTACACAGCCGGCGACGAGCCTGCTGTCGACGAGCCGGAGCAAAAGGAGGTTTTCACTTGGAATCTCTATGGCACTGTCAAGTCTCTCGACGAAACCTTTGGCAGCCTTCAAGAGTAAGTCCCGGTCCCATGCCATTTCTCCATTCCTGCTGCATACTTTTCGCCTTTGTCATGTCGCTCACGCTCGGTGTCTCCCAAAAGGTTCATGGAGTGGCGCGTTGCCCTCATGGAGCTTGGTCTCATTGAACTCAACATTGGGGGTGCCATCAAGCCCATCACGTCCGAATACGACCCATATCAGATGACCCAGGTCCATGACTACAAGGGCATCAGCTTCCTGCGCCAAACCGACGTGGCCAAGGCGGCGAGCAAAGAGACTATCACGGTCATGAGCGACAACTATCCCGAGCTGCTCAAGGAAAAGTTCTTCGTCAACATCCCCGCCATCATGGGCTTCCTCTATGGCGTCATGAAGCTGTTTGTCTCCAAGAAGACGTTGAAAAAGTTCCATCCCATGTCCAGCGGCACAAATCTCGCAAAGGAGTTTGTCAACACCAAGGTCGACGGGTTGGGCGATAAGCTCCCCGCTGAGTATGGCGGCAAGGGCGCGGACTTGAAGAGTCTGGGCAAGGCACCTATCGTCCAGTAGAAGACGTAGGGTCTCGTCATGGAAAGGTAATACGGATTCGTGCGATGAGGAATGTTTGATGATGAATGTGCCACTGATCTGGACCAGTGCGAAGCGAAAAGTAGTAGGGATTTTATGGTACGGCCAACCATTATTTTTTGTCTTCGTTACTAATGTTTACTGCCTATCTAGGGCAATTTTCTCTTCTTAAAAAGAACTAATGGTGGTATTTCACGAATACTGATAGTATAACCCAAAATTTAACAGCGTAGCTAGAAATTTCAGTAACAGTCCAAGAAGCCTCTAGTCTATTTCCGCACTGATGGCGGCTCTTCACATCGGCGAAAAAAGTTCCTCTCTGCGATGCCATCAAAACCCCGACACTGTGATACTCACCATTCACTAGTGCATCGTCGTGCATTATCTTAGTGCATTAAGGGTAGCAGCTCTCTCCAATGGCGTCACGGTGGTCCCTGATGAAGTGACCCCGCAGTGTGACTCCGTTCCAAACGTCGAACGAGCCGCAACCAACGGAGACCTTTATTTTCCATCATCATCATCCTCATCATCACCAATCCATTGTGTCCTTGACTTCAGAATCCCGTCTTGAGAAAGGATTTCCCCCTCAGCACCCATTCCCGCCATATAATATACCAACAGTTGAATATCCGCCATCATGATTTCCGGACTCCATCACGTTTGTCTCCCCATCCCTACAACCCATCCCATCCTCATCCTTCCTAACACTTACACCCTCAACCAAACCCCCAACCTCTATCCTCATCCCCATCCCCATCCATATACCATTCACTCAAATTCACTCACTCACATTCACCCACTCACCCACACCTCACCATCTCACCACCTCACCAAACCACACACTAACAAACAAACCCTCATAAAGGTAAACATCCTAGTCCCCCCCTCTACCCTCCCCCTCGCCACCCTCTTCTACGGCAGCACCCTCGGCCTAACCTCGCGCCCCGTCCCTCACCTCCAAGCCGGCACGCTCGCCTGGTTCGACATCTCAGAGTCAGGACAGCAGTTGCACGTAGCTATCGGTCGGCCAGATGTCGATTTCACGGATGAGGCCCGGAAGGCGAGCAGACATCCTTGTTTCCGGGTGGAGAGCGCGAATAAGTTGAGGGAGCTGCAGGAGAGGATCTGGGAGCAATATAAGCGGGGAGGAGAGGGGGCGCCGATGAGTTGTGATGAGCCGGGCAGTGTGGGGAGTGGTGAGTTTTTCTTTTTTCTTCTTCTTTTCTTTTTCTCGTCTTTTTTTTTTTTTTTTTTTGCTTAACCTTACTGTCTTTTTACTCTGCCTTTTTGAACCGTGAAGGGAGGGGAGGGTGTTATCATGGTGGTGAGGAAGGGGGAGATGGGAAGTTGGCCGTGTTGCTAACGGTTAAGCAGGCGCCCAGGGGGTTGAGTACCCGAAGAGATTCTTTGCGAGGGACTTTGCGGGGAATAGATTGGAGTTCAGCCTTTGAATTTCCACGGTAAGATGTAAAGGAGGGTCAGATGGTGGAACATGTCGAGTATGGGACTCACATGCAGAGACCGGGTATGCGATGGTATGCATGTCTGTCTGACAGCTGCAGTCTACTTCGGACGTGGCCATCTGCTAGGTACGGTAAATCATCGATTTTCTAGGGACGGGACATCATGCCCACCCGGCCAGTCAATTACCACATACGTCGATACCTTTCCCACTTCTTACATGGCATAAAGCTTCGTCGAAGCTCCTGCAGCCCTTTTCCTTACCTCCTTTCCGTTCCTCGGGCCTTCTGCACAGCATCAAGTGAAAATAACATCCACATGTCCCCCATTACTCCAACCCTGGCACCCACCCGACGGATTCCCTTCCGCATCACTACTCACCACCGCCCCCGGCTGCCCCTGGCAATTATCCAGCCTGTAACTCCTCTCCCTCCCGCACGTTACCACGCCTGGTTCAGCGCACATATACACGCAAGTCTGCATATCCGACCGACACCCGCTGCCCCTGACCACCAGCGTCATCGGATGTCCTTGCATATTCACCAGCCGGCTCACATCCGTCGTGGCAAATATGCCTGTGCTGAACTCGCCAAACGTGTTGTTCACCTGCCCGTACTCCGTCAGCGTGGTCGTGTAGTTGTACAGCGTCGACCAGCCGCCAGGAACTTCGTTATCGATCGACACCACCACCGCGCTACCCTGCGCGGGGAGCGAGTACGTGATCTTGGGCGTGCGCGCGTCCATGAACGAGGACTGTGCGTCTTCAACGGGGTTGTACCAGACGACCAGGATCAGAGGGACTGAGGCCCCGTTGATGAAGGAGAAGGTGTTGGGACCGCTGGAGCCGAGGTAGATGCCTGCAGTTCCAGAGGCGGCTGAGTGGGCGTTTTGGCCCTGAGAGGCAAAGCCGATGGTCGAAAGGTAGGTGCAGTCCTCAGGGGAGAGGCCGGGCACGGGGCTGGCGCAATTGTAAGGGATGGGCTGGGCGTTTTGGACGGGAGACGGGGCTGCCCCGGGGGGGCCATGGGAGGGGCTACTCGGTGAGGCGGGTGGTGGTTGTTGTTGAGTACCAGCTGATGGGGAGGGAGGGATGTCGGGGCCGGTGTTGCTACCGCTCACGGTGACAGTGATGGTGGTTGGCAAGATGTTTTGGACTAGGGACGTGGGAGCGACAGTGGGGGTGACGGTAACGGTCGAGACGCTTGGGGTCACAGTTATTGTCGATGTGAGGACCGGAGGAGCGATGCTGGCCATTCTACTCAAAATTTCTGTTAGTCGATGATCGGGTATTCCATTGGAGATTGGACGCAGAGGACAGCAACTTACGACGATGGGTTCTGGTTGCCGAACTTCTGGTTCTGACCAGCGAAGGCAGATGTGAAGTTGGCAAGAAGCAGCACACACCAGGAGAGGTAAAAGTCCATGATCATCATGGTGTTTCGTCTCCAGTTGTTCTCGCTTCACCTGATAAACTGAAGCTGACTTGTTCCTTCAGATCCAGGTTCGGCACCGAACAATGGAAGAATTGAAGTTCACGGATCCGACTTCTGAATTTTCCAGCCGACGGCTTGCTCTTAAAGCCCGCTTCTCACCGGTCGAACCTGCCATTCTCGGTGTTGAGCTCTTCACTTTCTTACCGAGAAAGCAGGTACGACCGGTGAGTTGTAATTGCCGTGGGGAATTGTGTGACAGTATGACAGTGACTTGGTCAGAATGGCAAGAGCGCCTCTGGTGTTTGAATGGCCGAGAACCTCTGTGGTCCGCCATTGCGCCAAAAAAGGAAGGCAACACTGGGCCAAACTGTTCGGATGGATGCTCCAAAGTTCAGATGGAAGTCGTTTCGCACCATGATCACTTCCCTTCCATTGTAGCTTCCAACTAACCTTTCAAATCTAGACCTTGAGTTTGGCTGTGGTAAGGCAGGTAGGTACGGAGTATTTCACCCGGTCGAATCCCACGTCGTCGCCTTCCGTTTTCATGTTCATAGAACCGTATCACTCGTGTTTGACTCTTCGAGGGCCAGATGCTGGACTCTGTCCTGCTGGCCGTGAGCTTCATCTGACACTATCCGACAATTATTTCCTCGGAATTTGAAGAGCGAGACCTCCGAGTCACTTTCTTCACCCCTGTCGTTACAAACGATCTACCTGGTGTTCGATGCCAGCTGCATGGTTCGCCCATGATGCAACGATACATATCAGAAAAGAGAAACCGCAGAATTGGCTATTCCTGTCTCACCCAGCCCGTCGAACAGAATGCAGACAGCAAAGCACAGACGATGTTTCCAGACAAGCCTTTCCAGCTTTCCCAACGATCTCCAAATCTGACAGGACGCCTAAACGTGTTCATTCTGACGACCCAGTTCGGACAACAGCACATCAGGCCTCGACGCTAATTCGTAAAAGTCAACATGGCTGTCGGCTATCATGGCTTAGTACTCGCTTCAGGCCGTAGCTGCTCAAATGTTTGTTTAACCGACACGACGGGACAAATTTATCAACCCATAGAGTACCGCACCGGTGGAGACACTGTCCCGCTTGACCAGAACGGTCGGGCAGAATGCGGAGTGGCCACAGACACCGTCTCGATACAGGGTCGCGCCGTCTCCAAGCAGGAGTTTATGCTCCGCCATAGCTACGGCGAGGCTCTGGCCTCCCAACTCGCTGACGGAATCCTGGGCATTGGTTTCAATGACATCTCAGCTTGGGATCAAACCGGGAATTTCACCTATGTTCCCTTTCTAGCCGGTCTAGTCGGCGAGGGACAGCTCCCAAACAGAATCGTTGGCCTCGCTCTCGGACCTGGTGGTAAGAAGCACCAGGAGCGTGGCCCCGAAGCCTCCATCGGGGACGCCGACTGTGCGCGCTATCGCGGCCGCATCAAGAATGTCAACGTTGATGAAACCCTCACTACTCTCTCGGGTACGTTTATAGTAGACGTGCAAGCTGCCTACATTGGTTCCGGAAATAACAAGCAGTTATGGCGTAACTCAACCAACGACAATAAGCCACTCACGCCGGGCGCTTCCGTCGTCGACTCGGGAACCGCCTACATGCTGGTCTCTGACCGACAAACCGCCGAGGATCTCTACTCAAACATCTCCAAGGACATCGTCCTCCTCGGTGATAAGGGCCCATGGGGTGCCAGTTGTACCACCTTGGATAAGGTGGCAACGGACATTACTTTTACTATTGGGACCGAAACTGGAGGCAAGGTGATTGATGTGATCATGCTCAAGAGTGCATTCAACCTCGGCGAGTACCCTGGAAAGGAAAGGCATCTGTCAAGCAGCATTTTCCCACTTTGAACCTCCTCTCTATGAGCCCATTGGGGGACGCCCAGCGTGGCTTTTTGGAAGTCCCTTGATCAAGGCTTATTACACGGTTTGGAATGCCAAGGAGGGCACGCTTGGTTGGGTCCAAGATTCAAGGCCGGCTGAGTAATGGCTGTGAAGCCGTTGTCGGGGGTGTTTTATCAGCGGGATTCGCAAGTGAATTTTAATCAAGATATCTGTACTTAAACACCACGGAGGAACTTCCCGAATCCGTTAAGCATTATTGTACGTGTCAGTCAGCTCCCAGGCACATGTCCATGTCACCAGTCGCTCTCCTCTCACTCTTAACCTGCTCCTACCTCTACCTTCTCCATCCACCAAGGCGATCGATGTCGGCCTTGTTATGCGCAAGCTTCTTATCTAGTCTTCCCAAGCACAGAGTTTCTTTTGAAAAAAGGATCCCGCTCAAGGTCTGGAGCTGCATTACTTGATGCTGATGAATGTTTCCCCGCTCCTTCTGTATATACACTTCAAGCCACAATGGCTTAGAGGTTGTCCCCTTCCTCGCGGACTCTAACCTATCACTGAGCAGCAGGCCTCCCAATTCCGCCTTGTAATTCTGGGCGTTTGCATTTTGACCACAGAAAGGAGCGGTCATTAAAATTAAAAGGCATCCTTTGCTGCCGCTCATCTGAGTGTAACTCAAGATCCCACATCGTCCACGGTGCTGGTGATCAAAGCGCGAGATGCAAACATTCCGCTTTTTGTTCTTATCTCTTAAGCTTAACCAGTTAACCTCTCGCACTGACTGCACTGGCTAGCCGTGCCGCGGTCCAAGAGCCCCGGCCGCCGATGATGCAGGCAAAACACCCATGTGAGCAATCGTGGCTCGCTCCAGAATCCGGGGAAAGGAATGTGATATTAAATTGCAGAACAACCCCTCCTCTCCTTGATATCCAATTATCTCAACGGCGCTCGCAAAACCAGCCAGGCCCAGAGTTCTCAGAGTTCTCTCAGCCGTGCTATTGCCTAGACAATGTGAAGCTTCGGGGAAAGGTCCTACCCGCAGCCAATAGTTCGATATTCGAGCGGCTCGTTGGTGATGAGTTGAGGGTTGAACAGAATTCTTTCTTCTTCCCCTCATTTTTTGTGCCGTGTTCGGGTCGTGTCCGGCGTCAAGGGACTGTTTGGTGGCTTGAACTTTCGAAACCCCAAGTTATTACCACTGCATTCTCTCAGGTTATGAGGTTCTCGACGAGGTGTGAAGTCTAGATGCTCTCGGAATGGGTATAAAGCCATGATGATAACCTCACCGAGAGGGACTCGAAACTCCTTCTTCAGACACAGGCACTCACCTCTCCAGCCAAGTCAACCACTGCCTCAGCTTGCTCCTCATCTCAAAGTTCAAACTCCAAGAAGCAACTTTGACGTTCAAACCCTCCTTCAAGCACTCAAGCACCCCCACAAAGAAAAAGTCAAAATGCTCTTCCAAACCATCCTCACCAGCACCCTCTCCCTCTTCCTCATCGGCTTCACCACCGCCGCCCCCGCCGCCGCCCCGGCTGCCCCAGCTGCCATCATCGCCTCCCGCGATGCCTCCGCCTCCGCGGACATAACCCCCTCCACCCCCCTCCTCATCAACACCCGCGCCTTCTCCTCCCGCATAACCTGGTACAACACCGGCCTCGGCGCCTGCGGCACTTACTCCAACGACGGGCAGCTGGTCGTGGCCCTCAACGCGCCACAGTTCGACCCGTCCATGCCCAACCGCAACCCCAACCGCAACTCGCTGTGCGGCCGCAACATCAGGGTAAACGCCAATGGCCGCAGCGTCACGGTCAAGCTGGTTGATCGGTGCGCTGGGTGTCCGTACGGTGGACTTGATCTTAGCCCCGCGGCTTTTGGCGCGCTGGCGAGTACTAGTGTTGGGGTGTTGCAGGGGAGTTGGGATTGGGCTTGAGCTTGACGGGAGGACTACTGGCTTTGGGATGCTGGTGTCCCAGGCGGGATTGAACCGTTGGAGTGGAGTGGTTTGATGTTGGAGATGAAGGAAGGAAAGGAACGCCGGGCGGGAGTGGGAAGGGACGGGTGGTGACAGGAAAGGAACGAGGGGAGGATGCGGGCAGACGCCAGTCGCCAGACAGGCAAGCAGGGCCCAATCGGGCAAGGAATGTGGAGGTTGATGACTGAGCTCTTGGTCTTTTGTTTCATGTTTCCGTTCTACCTATGTAGATTCATCATTTTTTCCCCTTTTCTCTCAGGGGTGGGCTTCTTTGTTCTTGCCTGGCCAGCAGGAACCCCTCCCCCTTTTCTCATTCTTCGATTCTGCAACCACTCATTTGTTAGGGGTTCGGTTGTTTCCGAGACAAAGCTTCCGCTATAACATCCCCAATTTTTTCAAATTTTTTTTTCAATTTCCATGTATGGACCAAGAGCTTGCGGCGGGATGGACTGGTCGAGATTTGCACTCGCAATGAATCTTCAGGGTTTTCTAGGTCAGTGTTCTTTTACTCCTTCATAGCTATCTAGTTATTCAAATCCAAACTGTAGTAAAAAATAGTGCGTCCGCTTTTTGTTAGTGAAACTGTGAATGACCGCACGTCATGTCTCTGCCCTCTGGCTCGGCAGGGTGTCATCTTTCACATTTTGTTTACTTACCCCTTAATCCCGTGACAGCCTCAAAATCGGGCAGCTGGCATGCTTTCCTGGGTGCTCCACTGGCAAGAACCCGGTCGGCTTGGGACCACCATTTCCAAAAACCCTTTTCATCCTGATTTGTGCTGTGTATTTTAAATAATAATAAAAAGCCATCACACCACGAAAATAACATGTGCACGCCCGAATTCTGAGTTGTCCTATTTAGACCCAGATTCTGGCCCGCAGAGTCCAACAATAACAACCAATAATCCCCTTGTGGTGTAGTTGGCTATCACGTTCGGCTGTAATTGCAAAAGATTGTATACCGAAAGGTCACCGGCTCGATTCCGGTCGAGGGGAAGAGTTGTTTCTTTTTTTTCTTGCTTTTTTTTCTTCTTTCCTGTTTTTTACCTTCGCCAATTCTTCGTCAGCTTTCATTAAACTATTCAAATTGCCCCATTGCAAGTGAATTGAGGTGTTAAATACGAGCCTGCTTATGTGTGGGCTGCTTCAAGGTTTCTTCCTGCCTTCTTTTAACGGGATATCTGGCAGTGTTTTACTGCAGTCCTCTTGATCATGAAATGACATGGGACAAAGACGTACATTGAGTAATCCCGCGAGGTGAAGTGGGATCGAGTTGCGTTTTGAGCAACACTCAGATTTGTAGTATTGAGGAAGATCCTATGGCGACATTTGAGAAATGCATTGCGCAGGTGAGATGCACAACTCCCCCGCTCCTTCCCGCGGCAAGTCATCCACCATCACACTATCACGCCAGGTAACACAAGCATGAGGTCTTCATTGACCTTTCCATCGCGATATCATTAAAATACAAACTTTCTCCCCAGATGTGGATGAGGAGCGCATAAAATGCAAAATCACTCGACATCCCCAAAGCTTACAAACAAAGCCTCTTCAAAACGGCTCCCAAGAGCTCAATTTCTTCAGATCAAACCTCCCATCAAAACAACATGGCTACGGTAGCGGTTCAAATTCCCGCCTCAGGTCCAGTCGGACAACCAGATATTGGGTACACTCCTGACCATGACAAGTACCTTGAAAGAGTCAAAAGACGACGAGAAACTGAAAAGCTCGAGAAGTCTCTTCCGCCGGGCTTCCCTCAGCGACTAGACTCGGACCTCGTTTGGGACGGCAACACCCTCGCCGAGACTTACGACTGGAACTACCGACTAACAGAAGAGGACATCAACGAAATCGAGTCTGCACTTCGTCATTTCAAGAGTTAGTACCAGCCATCTCCCAGCAACTCCTCTCCTTTCCACGTTGGACATCCACTAACCTGCATCACCTGACAGGCCTCGACAAACCCTTAGGCTACATCACCCAGGAAACCTTCCCCCTCCCCAACCTGCACTACACCCTCCGCCAAGTATCCAACGAGCTCCATAACGGCCACGGCTTCAAAGTCATCCGCGGCCTCCCCGTCACCTCCCACACGCGCGAAGAGAACATTATCATCTATGCCGGCCTCTCCTCGCACGTCGCCCCCATCCACGGCCGACAAGACAACCAACACAACGGCCAACTAGCCGACGTCGTCCTGGCACACATCAAAGACCTATCCACCACCATCTCGGACACTTCCAAGATCGGCGCGCCAGCATATACCACCGAGAAGCAGGTGTTCCATACAGACGTGGGCGACATCATCGCCCTCTTCTGTCTAGGCGAGGCCGCGGAGGGCGGCCAGAGTTTTCTTTCCAGCAGTTGGAAGGTGTACAACGAGCTGGCGGCTACGCGGCCGGATCTAATTCGGACCTTATCTGAACCCTGGATGGCGGATGAGTTTGGGAAGGAGGGTAGGAAGTTCTCCGTCCGACCGCTATTACATTACCTGCCTGCTTTTCCTTCTTCTAGGACCTATGCGGACGATGGTGAGGCCAAGCCAGAACGGCTCATCATACAGTATGCCAGAAGGACGTTCACGGGTTACTGGGGCTTGCCGAGGAGTGCGGATATCCCGCCTATAACGGAGGCGCAGGCCGAAGCGTTGGATGCGCTGCATTTTACTGCGGAGAAGTATGCTGTTGGGTTGGACTTTAAGCAGGGGGATATTCAGTTTGTGAATAACTTGAGCATCTTCCATGCTAGGGCCGGGTTTAGGGATGATGGGAAGAGGCAGAGGCATTTGGTTAGGTTGTGGTTGAGAGACCCCGAACTGGCGTGGGAGACGCCGGAGGTGTTAAAGGATAGGTGGGAGAGGGTGTATGGCGGGGTGAAGCCGGAGAGGGAGGTGTTTCCGCTTGAACCACAGATTAGAAGCGCGAGTAAGGGGGAGAGCGTGGGGACGCAGGGTGGTGGAGGGTATTGATGGGACTGCCACTGCGAGAGGGGTTGGAATGCGGCGATCATGGGCGTAGGTAGCTAAGCTAGGTTTGGATAACTCGGAAGGTTAGTTTGATGAATATGATGTAACGAGATGCTTGAATGGCACAAGATCCTTCGAGCCTATCTCTACCTAGTCTTCAAATGCGAAGGCTGTTGGTAGACACAAGTACTATTCCAAATATGCCTTGTAGACCATGTAAGTCCGTGCTTGTGTGGCTTTCCCAGTTCCCACTCGAGGCTTGAACGGACCCTGAAAAGACGAACAAACTCTCACCTTCAATGTCACCATCAAGCCACACCATTAACACGACGTGGGGGGGCTTTCTCGCTCCTTTGTATAGCACTATTTGCTCTTTGCACTTGCATTCAAAAGCCCATCTCCATGAAAAGCACGAACGATCAATAAGATCTTGGCGTGCTACATCAAGAGAAGATAACACCAATGATATTATCATTATAAGGCACGGCAAAGCGATGAGGCAAGATGACGAGCGTTACCTCTACCACCTCTGAGTTTCCTTGGCTGTGTCTCACGCTGCGACTCTGCAGGTCTGACCTTTCTCGTCCGGCAGGCGTGAGACACGATGGATGTGATACAAGATATTGATATGTCCACACAAGCGGCCGCCAAGGAAATGCAATATCAATATGCTATGGCGAGTGAAGACACTCGACCACTAGACACTTGACCGTCTCGACGCCTCGCCAATGCTTTGAGAACGAAAGGCAGACATGTGAAGGGATCTAAACCGTGGGGGTGAACAGAAGCAAGGAGGGTATTGTAGAAAATGCTGGGAGCGATATATGAATGTGCTGGTCGATCTAATGTTGCCTTCGGAATAACAACAGGCTCCCGTTCTATTCGTTCTTCCCGTCATACGGCCCAAGTCTTTTCTTGCTTGCACCTACTCATATGCAATCAATAGCCACGGCGATGTCTTTCAACTGGCGACGACCCTTCACTCGCCGGCAAGGCGATCTCGTCAACGCCAACAACGAATCTCACTATCGACCCGATGGGTCCTTCGACGGTGGCGATGGCGGCACCGTCAGCGACGGCAGTCTCCAATACACTGTCGAAAAAGGCGGCAACGACTCTCCGCCCGCCTACCAAGAAGCCACGGGCGCGCCGGTAGAAGTTAACTCCCCCCTGGGATATTCTGTGGGTCCATTGTCCATCATCATGTTGAATATCGGCAAGATGATTGGGACGGGTGTTTATTCGACTCGTGAGCTACCAGACCCTTCCCTTAAGCCTTCTTCTCTTCATTTCATTTATTTTCATGTTCTTTTCTTTTCTCTCCGTGCTGTCTGTCTGGGCTGGTCAGTGCTGACTGGATCCTGATACAGCATCAAATATCCTCCGCGGTACCGGATCCGTGGGTCTATCCATGATCTTCTGGGCTCTCGGCTTCCTGACGTCGATTGCGAACTTATCGGTATATCTCGAATATGCGTCGTACTTCCCGAACCGATCGGGGTCGGAGGTGGTCTATCTGGAACAGGCGTACCCGAGGCCGAGATGGCTTTTTCCGACGGCTTTTGCGTTTCAATCGGTTGCGCTGTCGTTTAGTAGCAGTAATGCTATTGGTGAGTGGTCTATCTGTTTTGTTTTTCGGTCGGTAGGTAGGCAGAGAAACAAACGTTGGACTAGTGGCTGACTGACTGACGTGAACGGAGCGCAGTCCTCGCCCAGTACTTGTTCAGGATAAACGGCCGCTCTCCAACAGCTTGGGAACTCAAAGGCGTGGCTGTAGCCGGTTATACCTTTGCCGCTTTGTGTATGTCTCGTACCCCTTCCACGACCCTGTCTGGTTACTGGCCCCGGAGGTGTCACTGCTAATTCGATCCCAGTCGTCTCCTTCCACACCCGCCTCTCCTACCACCTCTCCAACGGCATCGGCATAATCAAAGTCCTCACCCTGATCTTCGTCTCCATAACCGGTCTCGTGGTACTAGGCGGGCACGTCTCCACCGCTCGGATCCCGGACCCGCATATCAACTTTCGCGATGCCTTTTCCGGCCAAGCAACGCCGTACGGCGTCACCAACGCGCTGTACAAGATCATATTCTCGTACGCCGGGTTCGAGAACGCCTTCAACGTGGTCAACGAGGTGAAGAGCCCCGTGAAGCAGATCAGGAGGAACGGGTTTGTCGCTCTCTTGATAGTGGCCGTGCTGTATATCTTGGCAAACGTGGCGTACTTTGCTGCGGTGCCGAAGGAGGAGCTGGTCAAGAGCCAGCAGATTGCTGCTAGTCTGTTCTTTACCAGGGTGTTTGGATCGGGCGGTGCGGTGAGGGGATTGAACTTTCTGATTGCTTTGAGCTCGTTCGGGAACCTTGTTGCGGTGTTGATTGGCTCGTCGAGGTTGATTAGGGAGTGTGGGAGGTGAGTCTCGAGGAATCTGTTGACGTTCGTGTCTTTGGTGATTGCTGACACTTGGCCCTCGGCGGTAACAGACAAGGGGTGCTTCCCTTCCCACGTTTCTGGGCTTCTACCCGTCCCTTTGGCACTCCGCTTGGGCCATACTTCGTCAAATGGGCGTTGACCATCCTCATGATCCTCGCCCCTCCCGCCGGTGATGCCTTCAACTTCATCACCGATCTCCAAGTACTGCCTTCAGCCTTCTTCCAGTTGGTCATGGGTATAGGCTTGTATGTAGTCCGCTATCGACGCTCTCGGTTGAATCTTCCGCGCCCTGAGTTCAAAGCGTGGGACCTCGTGGTCGTGTTCAACATCTTGGTGCAGCTGTACCTGGTCGTCATGCCGTGGTACCCGCCCGCGGGAGGAGCGTATGCGGGCGATGTCAGCTTTTGGTACGGGACCTATGTGGTCACGGGTGTTGGAATGTAAGTCACGTCTCTCGATTTCTTTGTCTTCCAAAGCCGGCCCGGTTTGCAGAAAAGAAGTAGTCAACTGACATGGGCATCAGATTGGTCGCATGCGCCATCTATTACTACCTCTGGATCACCGTGATTCCGAAGCTTCGTGGTTATCGAATTCGCCAGGAGGTTCTGCGGCTTGAGGATGGTGCACAGAGCCACAAGCTTGTCAAAGTGCCGGTTGCCAAGTTGAGTGGGTGGGATGCCACGCACGACGCTGTTGGTCGCCCGTTGAATGACTCCGCGGTTCGTTCAGATCGCGGCTCCAGTAACGGCGTTTCGGATGAGAAAAGCCGACGTCAACGGATGAAGTTCTGGTGGGAAGGAATCAGCAAGATGTGGAGAAGTGATGAAAAATGTGGAGGAGTATTCACGGATACATAGTCCACGAGACCTCGGACCAACCTCCTTAGGCGTTTTCATATCTAGCTGATTCGTTTCGTTCTCTAAGGAAGGTGTAATCTTACCTTGAATATGCTTCTTCGGAGTTTCAATTTGCTGTATCGAATTTTGTTGATGCCTTTCCGTATCGTACCTAGCCAATACATCTTGTCGTCGTAGGGTCTGCGACAGTTTGGGATAGATATCGTCCAGTAGAGATATACTATGTCGGTAGTGAGAGCCCACGCCTAATTCCAGAGTCGGTTCGGCTGCTGGCACGGCGTCAGTTTCCAGTTCTGACCCCAAGTCTGAGTCTTCATACTCACCCATCGGCCGTGCCCAACTCGTGAAGCCTCTGCACCACTTTCTCAAAGAACTTAAATTCATCCATTATGGGATATAGATCCCACTCCTCCATTCCTCGGCGAACACGTTGAAATGAGCGCAAGATTTTCTTCCAATTAACGCAGTGCACAACTTCTTGAGAGTATTTTTCAAGTAGAAACGACAATGCAGGGGGTGAAGTGTAGAAGAGGGCCGCCATGAACTCAACAACATTGCCCTGGAAGGCCATTTTGACGGGGTTTCTCTCGTCGCCGTGTACGTACATATCGTACCATGTAAAGCTCAAGGATGAGCAAAGAAGGTGACTGCCAGCAGTATGTAGTAGAGTCTGGGAAAGATGAAGGGCGTCCATGACTAACAAGCGAAGTAAGACAATGATTTCGTCTGACGGCCTACCCCCGACCCACTCAATTCCATGAAGAATTGACATGGCATAGCTTTTCCTGTCCCCTTCCTCCTCCTCGGGGTATGGGGCCATATCAAGTAGGAAAAAGGCTGATACCAAACTAGGATCCAAGTATTCTTCCGTGAGCAAAACTTTTTTTGGCTAAGGACAAAAACTCGAAGATGTCGGGCTGGCCATGAGGGCGGCATTCGCCGCGATCAATGGTCCTCCGGAGAACGGTGTTGGGCAGGTAAGTATTTATCGTTGCAAGGTCAAGACACTTAAGCCGCCCTGATGGCTTGGATCGACTGGATTGGAGGAACTCTCTAATGGTAAAATGGGAGAAGTTGCAAGTAAAAGATTATTCGTCCCGTTCATCGCTAAAGAATGAAATAAGGCAACCACAGCAGTCTTTAAGCCTGTCGAGATTGCATCGGATAGAGATATGTTTGACCCGGTCTGAGGATCCATAACGATACGACTCATAGTAGCTCAGCACTTCAGAAACATTCAAGATCGTTCCGTATTGATCGGGCAGATCGTCCGCATAAATGATCCAATGGACCACAAATCGGACAAGTTCAAGATCATCTGGATGGATAAGATTCAGAATCCTAGGTTTCATCCAAATCCTTGGGAAGAGTTTTAATCGTTTGCCTGTCGTCTTCGTGCGTTGCGCAGTGAAGACGACGAAGGATATCCAGCTGGCAAACCGCCTAACGAAACATGCCTTTTGGCCCCTTGGCAAGTGCGTCAACCACTTCGAGCTTCCAATCGTATGGCCAACGCCTGAAACTGTCGCTTCGGCTGATGCTTTTGTCGACAAAGACTCGAATATCATTTTCCACCTCATCATGTGAAGTAGGCACGGAAAAGGAGATGGGAGCCATGACCCGCTCAATGTCGGCGTATTCACGGCTGGTGGTCAAGAGTCGGATCTTATGGAATCGTGGGTCGATAGCCAAGGTATCGAGAACACCAAGGAATGTATCTCGCGGTTGTTGACTCCCATCCAAGGCATCGACCGCCACATATACCGTGTGCAAACCGTCAAGTTGTGTGTGGAGTGCTGTGAGAAGCGTGGTTACGTCCGGGTCTTCGCCGCTTAGATAAGTAGCGTACGTCAAGCTCAAAACTGTGTCAGTCTTCCGACATAGTTGGCTGATAAGCCATCGTAGGAAGGAAATTGTTTCATCACGGTTGTGGCCGTGATAGCAGTAATAGTAGACGAGTACTATCTTGCGCGAGCATTTGGTCTTGATGAGTTGGTCAATGGTATGAGAGGCAAGAATGGTCTTCCCCGCCTCAGCCATAGAAAGACTCGAATGAATGGACTCTCCAAAGGGCAGGTGACTCGGAGATCATTTGCTTCAGTGCCAGCGAGTGCCCAAGTCCACACAAATTATCGCGGCCTTGTCGGATTCGTCGACGGTATGCAGCTTGTCTTATCGAGCTTTATCTTAATTCGAGCACGGACCATCCATCATAGGTAGGTTTCCACCACCTCATGAACCGGACAACGGAAGACCCAAACAATCCTTTCCCACTCATCTTCGCATTCGCCATTCTGCGCCCACGCGGCCATTCGGTTGACAGACCTGAATCTCGTGCTTATTCTTGAAGTTTTACCGCCGGATGGTTCCGTCTCGGCCAGGCTGAGGCTATCTGTCTCTGTCACCAAGCCGTCGACGCCGTTAAGGTCCGCTTTTCAGGGGCGCTCCCCCACTATATAGTCGCCAATGGGAAAGGCCGATAGTGGCTTGAGTTGGATGTAAGTGCCTGGATTGCGGCGGTGGTCTGATCAAAACGTCAAAGGCTCGCTCGCTGCATATCGGCCCGAAGCCGCTTATCTTTCCCTCCCGTCTCAACACTCACTTCATCCTACGACCTTCTCGACAAGCGAGACAACCGGAGCCCAGGATCGGATGGCCAAACCAACGCCTGTGCAACGTCGTATCCAATGGTCCTCCATTCCCTGGGCATGATGCATTGCCGCATGCTCTGACATTCTCAACCTCGTAACGGAAGTGTTCACGCCACCTGCTCGAGCGGATGCAGACCGAGTTGCGCTTGGTCCTGCGATCGCCCCTGCAACCATACACTAGGGCCCCATAGAAAGTAAACAACACACCAACCAAGCAACTGGCGACACTGAGATCTGACAGGCTGGCCATTCCTCCCATCAGTAAACGAACGACATCATGCAGCATGCATCAGCACACTTTCCTTGCCCTTTGCCCATCGCGAGACGCCCGGACTGTCTTCGGGGAGACGTCCTCGCGGAGATGGATGTGACTGTCACTGATAGCATGGCATCTGGATGTGCTCTCTTAGCTAATCATCATATCATCATGGCCGCCACAGAAACCACAAGGTGACAATAAAAGGCTTCTTGCAGCCCCTCATCCTGTGTATACTGGACTTCTTCATAGTCATGGAAATACAGCTTCGATACTACTACTCCTCCTAGTCTTTGACATATTTCCAACACCAGTTCTCACCCTCACGAGAATCATGGCAGCACAACAAAAAGGAAAGTTCACGGTGGGCGACTACCTCGCCCAGCGTCTTGCTGAGGTCGGCGTCCGCCATCACTTCGTCGTCCCTGGCGACTACAACCTCATCCTCCTCGACAAGCTACAAGCTCACCCAGATCTCAAAGAGGTTGGGTGCGCAAACGAGCTCAACTGCTCTCTTGCCGCCGAAGGATATGCCCGTGCCAATGGCGTATCAGCCTGCGTTGTCACTTACAGCGTGGGTGCCCTCTCGGCCTTCAACGGCACCGGCAGTGCCTACGCAGAGAACCTCCCCCTGATCCTCATCAGTGGTTCCCCAAATACCAATGACTCCGCACAATATCACATCCTTCATCATACGCTCGGCCATCCAGACTATACCTACCAGTATGAGATGGCCAAGAAGATCACCTGCTGCGCCGTATCCGTCCCCCGCGCCATCGACGCACCTCGCCTTATCG